GGTCCGAAACCGACACCCTATTTCTTAACAGAAAAATTTAATAACATAAAATAGAATTTAATGATTTTGACGTTTATTAAGAAACTAGTAAACCCAGCGAACTCCGTTCCGCCACCAGATGGCGATAGTTTTAGGTAAAACTTTGTTTGGTGTTTAAAAGATAAAGAAAATTTTTTTTTTGTTTTATATATGAAAAGGAAAAATTTTATTTCGATACCATTAAAGCTTTGGCCATTTCCGAGTGTTTTGCAATATTACACGTTGGTTCCTCAATAATAATAATGCAATATTACACGTTGGTTCCTCAATAATTTGAAGATTTAACGGTAATTTTAATGCTGAATGAGCCGTTTGGCATCCTTCTAACAATATGGCTGCTATTCCCGAAGAAGCAACTGCAACAGCTATGTAGGATCTCGCCCGAACAGTTGCTAAAGCTAATGACATGATGAATGTCTTGTCAGTACCACCAGGGGCATCTAGGAAATATAAACCACAATTTTCTTCATCGATTGCCTTCATTAAAGTATCATAAACTTTCTTCTGTTGGGAATTCAAAATTCGCTTGAACTAATAAATTTAATTCCTGGTGATCATATTCACGTTCCCGTTCTAATTCTCGATTAAATGCCTCATTCATTTCACGATTTGGCGCTGGCATTCTAACCTGATTAATATATTACCGCACATGAGGTAACACATATCTTCGATCAAGAGTAAAACCCGATAATGTATCTCCTCATTCATCAAATTGTTCACAATCAGGATGGCGACTTCGTCTATTGTTGGAGCATTAAATGTCCTTTCGTGTGTTTCAGATGGTCGTTTATCTGCTTTTATGACAACTTTATAGTCATCATTTGGCATGCGCTCTAAAGCACTCTTAACCAACCTGACCATCGCATGATGTTCATGAAGCAGACACTGCAAGTCTTGAAGAATTGCTCGCTTCATCCCTTCATTGATCGCTAGACGTCGATCAAGTTGTTCTTCCATGTTGCCCATGAAATATATTTGTAAAAATTTTTTTTGTGTATCTTCGAAAGGTAGTAATGATCCAATTCGATGGTGAATCTGCCCTTGTATCTAAGATAAAGTAAGTTATTCTTTAACTATATTCTATGTAATACAAACAAAAAAAAAACCTTAAATGTCGGATTAAATCCTCGTTCTTCGATAATATCTGCCCCAAATGAGGTCATTTGGAAACAACCATTGTATTTTCGGGTATTTGCAAGAAAGTGGCGTGATTCTTGTGTTTCACCACAAAGCAAAGAATACAATGGCTCAGGTGGCGGAGTCAACAATGGCAATTTAACTTTACCATTAAAGCAGCATAATCCAGGCGTTTCTCCGGAAAACTTCAGTGCACCGCAATACTCGCAAACAACGTCCATTTGCCCAATGCAAACGCTAGGATGCAAGCTGTAATCAGTGATGCAATCGTAAACCCAGCGAACTCCGTTCCGCCACCAGATGGCGATAGTTCGCTGGGTTTACGATTGCATCACTGATTACAGCTTGCATCCTAGCGTTTGCATTGGGCAAATGGACGTTGTTTGCGAGTATTGCGGTGCAAATGATCTATTTCTTGACCTCTGTTGTAAGCTCGACGATTCTGCATTGTCAACCGAGCCGTATTACGGATTGCCTCTCTTTGCTCTGCTGATTGAGAAGCACGAAGTCGACCCATTCTAACGCGGTTCTGTTCACGTTCAATGTTTTGTTCTTCTTCAGACCTTCCATTTGCAGTATTTTGTAGTCTTCTTGCATTACGGCTTTGTCGGGAAAGATTCGATCGTCTTGGTCGCGGCATTATTAATTAAACTTCCCTTCACTTCAATTCACAAAAAGCACGAAAAACTTCACTTCACTTCAATTCACCAAAATCACAAATAATTTCTACTCACTTTACAAAAAATTGAGTTAAAATGCTATGGTAGTGTGTGCTTGTCAGTTTGATGAGGTAATAACTCAGTTTATATGCGATTTTTGGTATGTCGAACGGAATAAAAAGTACCCTAACTCCTATTCCGGGCTCTAAGCTACCTTCCTACCAATTTTCAGCCAAATCTGTTCAGCCGTTCTTAAGTTATAAGTGGTGGAACTAACACAACTTGCTTTTATATATATAGATATATAGATATATTGAAGGTTCTTTCCAGAAAATAAAAATTAATGTATGAAATAAAGGGCACTGTAGTCAATTGATGAAGTCTGAGTTGCCCTCTTTCTCATAGTGAGTTTTCGCGTTGTTTTTCGAAAGCCGCTCGTTGATGACTGTCTCTTCACTTTCTTCTGATGTTTTTGCTGTTTCTGTTACTTTTCTTTACTGAATCTTGTTTACTTTTTCATATTTTCCCTTAAAAATACGCTATGACATATTAAGCTGCCAATAAATGGGGGTCGGTTTCGGACCATCACTTCGCGGCCGGTTTCGGACCACCACAACCTTTTCTAATTAACTGCTCGCCATTATCTAATGACGCAAAGAGCGATGTAATTCTAATAGCGTGAATGACAGCTAGGACTATCAATTATCAGAAAACCTTACCCTCCGATTTTTATGCGGAGAAAAAAAACTTTAAAAATATTTAAACTCAAGTTCAGTAAAGCTCAAAAATGAATGTCACAGGCGTTACAACAAAACAAACGGAAAAATTGCAGTGAAACAAAAGAAGTCAAATTGGCTATCTATCTCCAAAATGTCTGTGTTATAACAGCTTTTCACTGAAGTTACCGACAATTCGGCTAGCATCGCCATCTCTGAAAAACATGGGGGGGGGGTCGGTATGGTACGACCGGTCGGTATCGGGCCACCCTCCCCTAATGATATTCAATATTTTATTTATTTTTATTTTATTTATTTAATTTTATTATTTTCCCAGGGCTACAAGCTATTGCTTATTTATTATTGCCCTAGTGACATTGAATTTAAATTAACATATATATATGCTTAAAGTAACTTAAGGGGGAAATACAATTAGAAGGCCTGAAATGAGGGCCATCTTTGGGAGTGAATTGCAAGTAGGGTATTAAATGAATCTTAGCGATTCTTTTGCATGTTATTAGGCAATTATTGAGCAATAAAAATCAGTCAAGTTTTTTGAAAAATATTGTAATTAAGCCCATTTATGATCAATAATGTGGAGTCGTGTTTTTAGGGAAGGACTTTGCCCCGTGCAGCCTCCAGGTCCAGGATCACGACTTAAACAAAAAACAGCAACTGGGCTTTAAACTTAAAGGTTCAGCGCTCACCATGAATTAAAGCAAATTTAAAAAAAAATTATTTTTCCATTAAAAAATTTGAGGTTAAAAAAAAAAATTAAAAAAAACGCTTTTTTTGACTTTGATTGTAAAAAAAACATGTTATAACAAACAAATATGAAAAACCGTTATATTCATGGTGTGGAGAATTTAATTTCAAACATAATGCAAAAAACCGCATTCGATTTAAATAAAATCTCTGACCTGTACATTGCACGGCGATTTTGAAAACACGACTTTTCAGTAGAAGCGTTTGAAGTTTACTTTTGTGCATGTCCGCCATATGACACACCCTCACTAAATTGCTTATAACTTTGAAAATAAGTACCGGACGGCTTTAAGCTTTTAAAGGCTTATTCCCAGATATATTTAGAGTACATTAAGCCAAAAAAATTTTTCGAAAAAAAAAATTTTCTAATTGTATTTCCCCCCTTAAAACTATCATTTAGATATTTTAAAATTAAAAAGGCTTTGCTTCAATTTAAGATCTAATAACTGAATTAATTTTAGTTGTTATTTACTTTTTTAATTTTAGTCTTATTTTCATTTTTAATATTACTTTCATTTTTATTTTATTTATATTTTTCATTTTCGTTTCATTATGCTCAGTGGCGGATTAAGTATTTTGCCTAGGCCCTTTCTGATTAGCCGCCCTTTTTAAAGAATAAAATTTTTTTTCTCTGAATCCGTTCATATTATTATTAAAATATAACATTTATTTCATAAAACTAAAAAGTTCATAATTTCAATTTCAAATTAAACAATACAAATAAAAATTATTAACATAAGTAACATTCAATTTTCTTAAACTATAATGGATAACTTAACTTCTAATGTAAGTAACCGTCAATTTTCATAAACTATGAATTAGTTACTAATTATTCTGATGATTTGAAAGAGACTTTAGCGAATGAATGTATTCATCATGTCAATTCAAAGGTTCTCTAATGAACCCAAAAGATATTAGTTCCGCGCAAGGAATATACAATTTTTGCATTCTCAAAATCTACAAGATGTTTATCTAACTGTCGACATTGCTCTACGTATTTTTTAAGTATGCCGGCTAGGAACTCAATGCTTAAGCACTACTATCAATTGAAGCCCAACTTTAGACGAAAGCCAGAAAGAAGGTAATTTAATTTCTAAATATTTTCTTTCTGGCTTTTGTCTGGGCAAAATTATCAATTATTTCATTGTAATCAATTTCTTGGACAAGTTGGGCTTCAATTGACAGTAGTGCTAAAGCATTGAGTCTCTCTTGGCCCATACTTGCGCGCAAATACGTTTTAACTCTTTTCAAGGTGGAAAAGGATCTTTCTCCTGAACAATTCGTAGCCGGAATACTTAAAAATATACGTAGAGTAATGTTTACATTTGGATAAACATCTTCAAGTTTTTGAGAATGCAAAAATTGTATATTCCTTGCGCGGAACGAATATCTTTTGTGTTCATTGCAGAATCTTTAAGTTGACAATGCAAATGAATACATTCATTTGCGAAAGTCTCTTCCAAATCATCAGAATAATTAGTAACTAATTCATCTGCACGATTTTTTAATTCATTAGTATCTATTTCTATTAAATTGTCAAAAAAAATTAAATTTTTCGTAAATTTCATTTATTTTTTAAAGGCACTTCTTTGCACTTTGTGAAAGTTAAATAAATACAAACAATACACTAGACAACGTGTTTCTATACAGATTACAAGTTATATAAAGTAGTAAACATACACACGAACAAACATATTTACATTCACACGAGATAACACATTCAAAACCATATACATTAGTTAAATTAGTTACAAACAGCTAAAGATTCGGCGACAAGCACCTCGGCGTAATTAGTAGGACATCATTTAAGTAACAGCTGAGTCTCATGAGGAAAGACTGCGATTCTGGGCGGTTTCAAATGCCTTTTGTGCGACTTTAAGCAGGCCCTCGTAGGTGGCGTGACCCGTCTGCTTGACCATGCCGTGGAACACCTTGGAATCCGCCGCCGTCAAAAGTTCGTAGGGCGTTCCAAGCTCCACAGCTCGTCCCGCATCCATGACGAGCACCTTGTCGGAGTCCATGATGGTGTGCAGTCGATGGGCTATCGTCAGGACCGTGCACTCCTTGAACTTGTTGCGAATGGTGGCCTGGATGAGTCCATCCGTTTGCGGATCCACATTGGCCGTGGCCTCGTCCATCACCAAGATGCGGTTCTCGCGCAGAATGGCCCGTGCCAAGCAGACCAACTGGCGCTGACCCACGCTGAAGTTGGTGCCACCTTCGGTGATCTTACTCTGCAGGCCACTGGGCAGATCGGCCACCACTTCCTTCAGCTTCACCTCCTCCAGGGAGCGCCACAGCTTCTCATCGCTGTACTCGTCGAAGGGATCCAAGTTATAACGCATTGTGCCGGAGAAGAGCACGGGTTCCTGGGGAATGATGCTCCATCATTCCCCAGGAACCCGTGCTCTTGCTGCGCAGGTCATGCAGACCCATCTCACTTGTATCCCTCTTGTCCAACAGGATAGTTCCATCATTGTAAGACAGACGGAAAAGGGCGTTGATCAACGAGGACTTGCCCGCCCCCGTTCTTCCCACGATCCCGACCTTTTCCTTTGGCAATATTACAAAACTCAGTGATTTAAGTACATTTTCTGCTTTCGGATCGGGTGTGTAGCGCAAGCTCAGCTCATCGAACACGATTTTTCCTTGCTCTGGCCAGGACTTGGGTGGCTTCTTATCAGTCGTCGCTTCCAATTCTCCCTCCGGCTCAATGTCCTCGTACTCAACCACTCGCTCAACGGCAGTCATTGTGTTTTCCAGCTCGGCAGACTGACGCATTCCCCACTGCACCATGCCGGTCATTCCCATTTCCTGTGTTATGGCCAGACCCACATCGCCTCCATTGGCCGGAGGGAAGATGAAGAAACTTAGTGTGATGATTGCTATGTAGATTACACAAAAACAGTCCAACCAATAACCAAAGGCACGCGAGGTGCTAATGAACATGTAGAATGCGGAGCTGTGCATGTCCTGGTAGTTGTTAAATTCGGAGGCCAAAACACGCTGAGCTCCAAAGGCACGGATGGTGGACAACCCGGTTAACGAGGCAGCCAAGTGTGAATAAACTGGAGATCGAGTTATTGCTTCCAAACGCTTAACATCCCTTGACGTTTTAAGATAGAAAGTACGTAGTTGGTAGAAAATGATGCCCAAAGCTACGGTTGGGATGAGGAACAATGGGTTGACAATGGCAATGACGATCACTATGCCAGCCAGGGAAAGGAAGATTTGTATGACATCCATCATCACAGCGGGAAGTATTTCGTCAGATTACGGTAAGCCTCTTTACGTCCTGTTAATTGTACACTTAATGTGTCTAAAATTGGATAGTAAACGTTAGTTCGAAAGTTCTCTTCTCCAGATAAAACTACTCTATCATTTTTACGTGACTCGTCAGCATGAAGCTTTCGCGTTTTTTTTCGACGAGTGTCATATTGGTAATAGTTTTTAACTCCAGATAGTGCTTTGGCCTTTTCTTCATAAACAGAAAATTGTTTATTTCTCATGTCTTGGAGAAATAATGCCAAAGAACTATATATTTTTAACACGGATGATAAATCAGCTTGAGAATCCTGAAGCTTCTTACTCGCAGCATTAAAGCGATCCAAAATTGCATTCCAAACAATGACTAGAATTGCTGTTTCCAGATGTTGCAATTTTTGCTGCAGTCCCTTAGCTTCAGCTCGCGTCGTAGGTTTTTCATCTTTGTTTTCATTAATAAAGTTTAGTGCAACAATTATTCCTGGCCACTCTTTCTCTAATGTGTAGCATGCATCATGTCGAGCCGACCAACGAGTTTGAGAAAGGCTTTTAAGTCTTAAACTTGTATGCTGTCTTAAAATTTCAAAACGATGTGTCGAAACGGTAAAAAAATTATACAATTCTTGCAAAGTAGAAAAAAAGTCAACTGCTTCGGTAACAGATTCAGCTGCACAAGTTCCCACTAAATTTAAAGAGTGGCCAGCACAAGGAACATATTCAGCTAATGGATTAGTTGTTTTGATTCGTGCTTGCACTCCTGAATATAAACCTGACATGTTGCTTGCATTATCGTAAGATTGACCACGACAATTCATTATATTTAAACCATTATCCTCAAGAGATTTTAATAAAGCATCTTCAATATCTTTAGCCTTATGGCCAGTATTTGGAATGAACTCCAGAAATCTTTCGACAATTTGACCATTGTTACGTACATATCTAATAATAATCGTAAGTTGATCAACATGAGCAATATCATGCGTGGAATTCACAATTACATCAAAATACTTAGCAGATTGCACTTCTTTAGAAATATGTTGCAATACTTTATTTTGAATTAATAATATAATTTCTTCGTAGATTGTCTTAGATAAATACGAAGTATTTCCACGGCCAAGGTGAGCATATAATTTTAAATGTTCTGATAAAAACGGATCAAAATTAGCAAGATGCTCGACTGAACCTAAAAAATTTCCATTATGGGGATCTCCAATACGTTCTGAATGTCCTCTAAATGACAGCCCTCTTATTGCGAGAGATTTAATTATCACAATTACTCGATGTAAAACTTTTTTCCAGCATAAAATTTCTTCATTCAGCTGCTCCATTAAACGTTGATCAACACGGCCTTGAATGACAGCTCGAGATTTAAAGTGACTTATGTTAGTTTTGTGAAAATCTGAATTTTCATGAGCTTCTATGCGCGCTTTTGAGTTTTTCCAATCTCTAAACCCTTCACCAGTAAAAGCGTTTGCTTCACCACTCCCACCAAATAGTAAACATAGAGCACAAAATACTGATCCTTTACTTTCTGAATAAATTAACCACTCACGATGTTGAATTTCTCCGTTCTTTAAATGACGTTGAAATAAGCTTTTAGAACAAAACCTCGTTTTATCATTAATCACAATTCGTGAATTTTTAAAATCCGTTACATTATTTTGTGGTAAACCGTTTATAGTTATAAAATCTCGTGTTTCATTATTTATATTCCATAGAAAAGGATCACCACTCAATTGAAACATATCAGTTGTTGACTGACTTTCTTCCGCATCTTCTGATGAAAGAAAAGTTGACGACGTTTTATTTGTATTTGTATCTTTCAATAAAGGAGGATTCGATTGTATTTCTTTGGTATCTAAAAAAAATATTTTAGCCACGGACATTAATTCAATTTTTTGGAATTTAAAATTTTCCTGATTAGACAAAAAGTTTAAAAATAAATCAATTCAAATTTTACTTTCTCCAAAAGTTCAATTTATGAGAAATTTCTTTTAATCTTTTTTTTTAGAGTTATATTTAAAAAAAAAAAACTTGCAAGTGTATCAAATTACTTACGTTCGATGAACCTGACGCTTGCTGGTCTTCACTTATACATTAAAGTTTCTTGTTTTGATGATTTTTCTGCTTCCCTTTTACGATGTTCCGCACCGCTCAGTCTTTTTCGACAATCACTCATTGCTAATAATTGCTCGACAACTCAGTTAAAAAAATGGATAACTCAAAGTAATAATTAAATATTTTAATGGTAAAGAAATACAATAATAATATTATGAGACTTTTACACATGAACGGCTTTCATAAAACTGAATGAGCTTATTACTGCACATATTGCATTTGGCGAATTTACGCATTCAGTTATACTTGGAAAAAAGCAGAAAAAACTAGAAATATAACGGGATATCTCATGGAATAGGCTTTGAGGTCTGTACACGCAGTGTACCGTAGTGGTGTCATTTTTTTCTGAGCAAAAAAAGCTGGATAAACGAAAAAAAAAAGCTAAAAAAAGCGGAATACCAGAGAAAAAAAGTTAAGAAAAAAGATGATTTTTATAAAGCAATGTGCTGTATGTTTTTCATTAATAAATATGTATAATAATAATATACATGAAAGTACGAAAACTAGGAATTAAAGTATGTTTAAGATTTCGTCAATATCATCGGCACCATCGGTTGGATAAAAACACTGCTGAGCAACAAATATGCAAAGCGCTACCTCCTGCTCAGTGTTGTCGTTTTAGCAAAATGTATTTTATTTTTTTGCACAAATCCCTCCATAGCAATGCTGTGCTTTTTTGTAGCAGCATGTGCACGTAAGTCGCTAAATTTTGCAGTTATGCCGCACTTACAATAGCTGCAAAACACCCGCGTAAGGTTTGTAGGATCCTTCCTCATCCACTCTTTAAACTACGTGCTCTGTAGCCAGACATCTCTGACTTTTTGCTTGTAGGCTTACTTTGGCATTGTCAATATCTTTCAGCGCATCAGAATTTCACAATTTTAGTAATGGAAGACGCTTCAATTTAGGTGCGATCTTTTGATGGAACTTACTCGATACAAGTAAATATCCATTTTTTTGTCGATAGAAATACATTTTTAAATTTTAAGCAGTTAAATTCAATTTAAACATCTCTAAAATTTGAGTAAAAGTAAACTAAAAAAAAGCTGCTTAAATTTGCTTAAAAAGCCAGAATTCCCGCTGCCCGCTGTTTTCATATTTTTCCCGCAATCGCACTTCAAAAAAATCCAAATCTGACGGGAAAAAAGCGGAAATGACACCGCTGGTGTACCGTCGGCATTGAACTTCGACTCTCTCTCTCTCTCGCAGCAGCTTTATTAAGGCGACAGCTAAAACTAACAGAGAGTAGTGACAGTGCAAGATCCTTCGTGTCGCTGCCGATCACTGATAAATATGAATTACATTCTATTTCATAGAAATTTACAATTGCAAATTTATTTTAAAAAAATCCTAATAAATCCTTGAAATGATTTGTCGTTACCTTATATCAGATTTAAAATTTTGACATTTTGAAAATTTTGCCGCCCCCCAAATTGTGCCGCCCTAGGCCCGGGCCTCACGGGCCTAGGCGGTAATCCAGCACTGATTATGCTGTATTTTGGTATATTCTTAATAGCGCCCTTTTTAAGAGCATATCACTTCCAATCAGTTTTATTGAAGAGGGTATTTGATTCCATATGCGAATAGCGTGAATAAAGAATTGCCTTTCTGAGGTCAATGTTCTGTGCCTTTTAACTACAGGGTGGGCCATTTAAAGTTGACCCACTTGATTCTTAAAACAAAAACAAAAAAGTGGACAATTTTTTTTATTCCAAAAATGATTTATTTTGGTCCAAGGAGATTTTTTACAAATTATTATTAAAAATGATACCATGTAAATGGGCACCTTTAGCTCTGACAGCCGAATGCATTCTTTTTTCAGCATTTTCCATGACTTTGGCCAATGTTTCAGACGATATGGCGGCTATTTCACGTCTAATGTTGTCTTTTAGTTGACTTAAGGTTTTTGGTTTATTAGCGTATACCTTGAATTTCAAATAACCTCACAAATAAAAGTCTGGTTCCGTCAAATCTGGTGATGTGGTGGGCCAGTCAAAATCACCACTTTTCGATATCAACCGCCCAGGGAACAATGTTCGCAATAAATCGATTGTTGCTCTAGCTGTATGGCAAGTTGCCCCGTCCTGTTGAATCCAGAAGTTATCCATGACATTTTCACGAATAATAGGCATCAGAAATTCGGTTATCATTGCTCGATAACGCTCACCGTTGACGGTTAACGTGGCTCCATCATTGTCTTCGAAAAAATACGGTCCGATGATCATATTCGTGCAAACACCGCACCAAACTGTTGCCTGGATACATGACTGGCATTACTTAGATTACCGGTGTTTACAAATTTTGCGTACAAAGACTTAATTGGGTTTTTAACTGGAGCACTTTTAACTTTATTCATTTTACGAAACGCACGTTGGGTTAACACAATTGAGAATTTATTTTCAATGTAGAGCTGAACAATTTGAGCGTGTTCCTTTGGAGTGTATTGTTCCATGGTATCAATTGTTTTCGACTGACGCTTCCAACGTGGTATGACATTTGACGATCTGTCGACGCTGTCAAAAGTTACAGGGTTGCCAAATGGGTAAAATTTAAATGGCCCACCCTGTATAATGTTTTTCATTCGTTCTGGAGAGGCAAACTGAAGTTTTCTGTACAGGTACGCTGGTTCTATTGAATAAATAATCTTGTGCAGTAATATTAAAGTTTTAAAGTTCATATAGTCTTTTATACTTAATCCCAATATATTACATGCTAGTGTCGAGACATGGCCATAAAACCTCAGACCGTATACATATCGAACAATATTATTGAAGCAAACATTGATTTTACGGAGACTAACTGAATCACAATTCGCAAAGATTTCAACACCATACATTAAAGTTGGGAAAGACAGGTTTTGGCAATTAAGAGCCGAATGTTCGTCGGTAGAT